GTGTGTGTGTGTGTGTGTGTTGTGCGTATATATATGTATATATATATATATGTGTGTGTTGTGCATATATATATATATGTGTGTGTGTGTGTGTGTGTGTGTATGTGTGTGTATGTTTGTGTGTTTGTGCATATATATATATATATATGTATACCTCTGAAGCCTTCATATTTTCGATATATACTTCTGAAGCCTTCCTATTTCCGCTTTCATACTGGACTTGTTGTATATAAAAAACCAGCCAAGTTTGACTACGGTATTGCAATCGATGTGTATGGAAGCGTGATCAAGTCCCCTACACATAACAGGTATCCGACATCTGTTGTTGTCTCGTTCTTCCCGATTCTGTGGTTGTCATTGACGCAATTGGGCCGCAGTTAGCTTTATAGTATTCATTGTGGGTACAAAATTATTCGGAATTTGCTTCACTTTTTTTCGCGCTCGAATTGTCCTAAAGGAAAGTTGACGGAAATTCAATGGCGATTCAACGATATCTATCCTCCATCTAATCTCTCTAGATGTGTCTCTCGTGAGGCAGACTTAATTTGGACTGTCGCAACCTAACAAATTATCACTGTATGAATATAACTTGCCTGCAGTCCCATACTTTGCACGCCCTAGGTAGATTGCACATGGTCTGTCATACCCATGTTCTTGTTACTTTCCTCTTTCAAAAAATATTGGAGTTTTAACATCGGATTGCTCGGACTAAACATTGTACTGGGGGTTTCAAGAAACGGTTTTATGATAAAACTGTGCTATGTAAATGCAAGTATGTGCACATTCTTCCAGGCTTTCATGCATGAGATTACCAGTTCATTGGTTGTTGCTGACTATGCTCGCCAATGTTCAGAAAATTAAAATTATATATTTAGTACAATCATGAGATCCATGCATAAAAAGTTACCATATCCCGACCTTCGACAAAATAAAATACACACCCAATATGTCGAGATAAATTTATTTCCCTGTTGTACGGCCCCTTCATATAATACATATTGGCCTATGCTCCTCGATGAAACTATATTGCCCACGCTTCTCTATGCCTATCATACCTGTGCTGCACCAGTAATTCGGTCTCATCTGCCCATCCACCTGATCTCCGGTGATATAGCCCTCTCGTTACAACCAAGGCTCACAACCGCCGCTTGCATTCCAAACTCGACCGCCTGGTTGACCGTCTTACCCTCCAAAAGTGCATGTATAAACGCCCCACACAACGAGTCTCCCGCTCCGGTGGCGTTCATCACCTGCACCCCTTCTTGCGCTGGGAAGTGTGCGAAGACGGGCGTAGTCGAAGTCTCCTCTACACTACCCGCCTCAGGCTGTGTGTCTGTGATGCGTCTATTACGAGATGCTAGCAATACTCCGTGCACCCCAAGTGTTACCACCACATGCGCTGACTGTGGATGCATTCGCTCTAAAAGTCTCGCAGCAGCTGTCTTGACTGCCTTGAAATCGTCTAGCTGCATGTTGTTTCTCCAGTCACCGTAGGTCTCGGTACCGCCCGCCCCCGTTGTCATAGCGACCAACTCGTCCATATTCGGGAACGTGTAACTAACGCACTCCAAAAATTTCTTGTTATCCGCACACGCTCTGGCTTTGGGTACACTCGTGGGCTCGAAGAAGACATGAACCCCCTCCTTAGCCGCCATCTCAGCAGCCGCCACACAAGTGTTCAATCCCGGATTAGCGTCCATAACAAACACCTCAGCACCCCGCAGAGCGCCTTGTGGCGGCGTTGTGATTGCACTCAGCACAGACATATCGGCTATCGCTGTGTGCAGGTCGCCAGTCTCGTCCAGAACCGCCGCATACGTGGCCGTGTGCTTGCCCTCGACCACCCGCACGGACTGATCTGCACCCACAAGCCCATAGTCATACTTCATTCTATGGATCAGTGCGTGTCCCCTGGTGTCGTCGCCTACAGCGGAATATAGCACTGGCTTGTTGCCCAATAGACCGAGAACTTCAGCCACATTGCGAGCCACCCCTCCGTCCCATTCCAGGCAGTGTCCGAGGTTCGATGTCCCGTGGAGAAGCTTAGTGCCGGATACTACAACGTGACAGCGAGAATACATAAAAGCTATGAGTGTGTAGTAAGTTTGGGCACAGTAGATTCATAAGCGTATGGTAGGCATGCGTACATAAGGTGGCAGTGCAACAAAATTACGAGCACATACATAGCTTATTAAAAGATTTTCGCCCGCACATTACTGTAATCATCAGTTGTGCTCGTTCATGCCTAACTCGACGATATTAACGTGTCCGCTGACTCCCAGTAGGCTACGGGGCAGAGACAGTCAGTGATATGATTCCGCAACACAATCTCCGTTACATTTATAGGCGATGATCACAGATACACTTAGGGGCGATAACACATATTCACCCACAGCTACACTTGAGGGTGATAACACGCACAAAAACCCACCGCTACGCTTGTAGGCGACAACACACACCTTTACCGCTACACTTGTGAGCGATAACACGCACACATTTACAGATACAATGATGGGCAACAACACATACATTTACAGATACACTGATGGGCGATAACACACACATATATATATACAGCTACACTTATAGGCGACAACACACACCAATTTACCGCTACACTTATGAGCGTTGACGCACACACATTTACTGCTACACTAATGGGCGATAACACTCACACATTTACAGCTACACTGATGGGCGATAACACACATATATATATGTTCACAGCTACACTTATAGGCGATAACACACACACATTCACAGCTACATTCATACACACCGGGCTTGGCTACCAGATCAATCACGCTCCCGCCCATTACAACAACACGCGACTGGGCAGTACACACATCAGCACTCGAAGGGTTGCCCACATTATCTTTGTCGCCGCGTGCGTGTGCTGTGTTTGTTTGCGTCTCGCTGCTCGCACTGTGACTGTGTGTATCCTGATCTGTATACCTGAGCTTGGTTGTGTCGCCGGGAGTGTTGTTTGCGATGGATATGGCGATATCCGCGCCTACACGCGCGTTCTGATATACCAGGGACATGTTGCTGCGAAGACTGTCGCCGCCGGTCTGCTCGGCTACCTCCTTAAGTACAAACGGGGTCACGCCCTGTATGGGTGGAGAGTGAGATGTGTGCGAGCATTGGAAAAGTAGTGAGAAAGGTACGCACCAGTTGGGAAGTGTGGTATATGTGAAGAGAATGGGGAAAGGCGCGAGAGATGTGTGCAAGAAATGCGAAATGAATTGGGAGATGTGGTCCACGCCCAGCCCATGTCAAACCAACGAGCACGGGACTACATACGTTCGTCGGAACTGCCCACGCATATCCAATGAGATCCACGCACGCACGCACGCACGCACGCACGCACACACACCCACACACACACACCTGTCCATGAACGCCCTGTTCCTCAGCTTTCGCCAGTGCAACGTGTATAGCTCGCTCCACATTATCGCCCGCGGGGTCAGAGTTGGGCACTGCCACGAGCATACCATGTGGTAACTGCAGGGCTCTGCTAGCCCAGTACGTCCGAGCAATATCATCACTGCTATCCATACGTTGTGGCGCTTTAAACCCGGATTTGGCCGTGAAAAAGGCCGGAAATTCATCAGCACCGTAGGTAACTGCGGGCACCCCCAGGGTTTCGAGCACTTCCAGGGTACGCCCAATATCAAGGATAGACTTGATACCAGCAGACACTACAACTACGGGCGTGCGTGAGAGCTCGGTGAGATCAGCCGACACATCGAGCGACACGTGCCCGTTCCTAAGGGTGAATGATGGGGATACAAGCTGAGTATCTTTGGCTAAAATACCACTTGCAGTGTCTATCTAGTTAATCTGCGATTCTGATGCACGGTCGATAGTGTACAGAGTAAACATAAATACCTATACCTACCACATTGTCTTGCAGGAATGCGAATTAGCACTTGTCAGATCGAAATATGTCAAAGGGTTCTCCCGAATTCGATTATACAATTGGATATGGTGCATTTTTGGACAACCTACAGCTGGCCAGAACAACTACAAAACAAAATTACGCATTTCGATGGCAATGATAGCAGGATCGGGCACTCACAAAGAACAGACGCACCTGTGAACACCACCGATCCCTCCAGTCACGAATGTTGATATTCCCGCCAATTTTGCCAGTGCCATCGTTGACGCTACGGTGGTAGCTGGAGACGATTTCATAAATTTATATCAAATTATCAATTCAAATGAAAGTAGCATTCACTAAAGTTCCTGAGAGTACTTTGAATAGGTATAGATGATCACATAATCCTAACATTTCGACCGTACAAAAATTTACACCTTTTGTTTCGAGATGACGACGATTTTCGCCACTTAATAGGTGGCAATGACGTTTTGCGATCGTAAATAGCAGATCGATGGCAGGCATCGTTGATTAATACTCTCCGCAACAACAAAACGTTCTGCTCATCAAGGCACCAGTAATAGCTTAAGTTGAGCGATAAGAGATCATTGTGAGTCCGGGATGAGGTATACACTAATTTCGTCGGAGCTTATACATACGTAGTACATGCGGGTCCCAACTGCAATGGAAATTAACTGATTGACAACATATAATCACCCGGTTAAAAGCACCACTGCCCTTCTGAGGCTGTATCGTGATCACGATGGGCAGCTCACGTGTCGATAACTTCTTGGTCAGGTCTACAATTTCAACATCTCGAAGCTCATTTGTACACAAATAAATACCGATTGAATCGACATATAAGTCAGGCACTTACCGCCCCATTACTTAGCACAACTGCCCTTCTCTGGCTTCATGAAAATCACAATACACGACGCACTTATCAAACATTTCCTCGCTCTACTCATTTGATAAATACGTGGAAATAGACTTAACAATCACTTAAACCAGTTGTATACGAACACTTACCCTCCTGGTTGTTAACACCACAATTCTTCTGTAGCTTAACGGCCATCACAATGAGCAATTTTCGTATCAAGCATTTCTCTGCTCTACCCATATGCATATATATACATACATACATACATACATACATACATACATATATACATATATACATATATACATACACACACATATATATATCTATATTTATATATATATATATATATATATATCCTCCACAATCTCTCAAATAATAAATTCTCAAGGACTTACCACCCCAATTGTTAGCACCACTATTCGTCTGGGGTTGCATGGCCATCACAATGGGCAGTTCTCGTGTCGAACATTTCTTCGCTCTATCCTCCTCTCCAGCCTTTGCCAGATCTTCGAGTTCATCATCGGACAGACCGACACAGCAAACACCGTTAAGTACCGCAATGGTTGCGGGCACTACACCTTTCTCCCGCAGAATGCTCTCGACTTTTTTGGCGGTCTCTGATTCAACGTAAAACAGCGCGAGACGTAGTGTGAAGACCTATATTTTACATCTCAACTTCGCAGAACTATTAGAAGTACGTCCCACCAAGTAAACGCCTTAGTACAAATTCTCCGTCATTGGGGCTTCATATGCGCCATGATCACTGGGTGTCCAAATTAGTTGCAATGAATGC